GGGGTATTTACTAATGTATAACAAAATTGTATATTTTCACTTTGAGATTTCCCTTTGAAGGTGCCCTTTTTCCAAGAAAGTGCCCTTTTTGCTTGCCCCCTCCCCACTCTGGAAGTCGCTCCGCCGCCTCTGTGTATTTCAATAATCAGAATGCGTATTGCATAATTATACATTAATTGTTGCGCTAGGTATGACAAGCCGCAATATTTTCATATCAAACTCTTTGTTTCATAATAAAATAGTCTTCCTATTTGTGGGCATTATGCCAGCAGTAAGCAGTTATCTGTAGCAATGTTTAATCTTGGTCACCAATTTTGCTCAGGTTTTGATATCTTGATCTTCAAGATCTTGATTACTCTTGAAGTGATTCCACTAAAATCTTCTTTTTGTAACTATACGTTGTTTTGTTTGTCATTTAAATCTTTGCTATACATTATGTTATGTTGCGTACACTAGAATATACATGCAGGTTACCTTCTGAAAAATGTTCTTTTTGGAGTGAGAATGTTTGAATATAGTATAGTATTAATGACTGCTTTGAGAGAAATAGTTGTTTTATTACGCTCAAGGGAAGGTTAGAATTGTGCTATTCCCCGAGGCTTGCCGAGGGGAATAGCCCAATTGTAACCTTCCCGAGAGCGTATGAAAACAACTATTTCTCGAATATTAAAGCAGTCATTAATACTTTTATATGCCGAAAAAAAATAGACTAAAAAATAAAAAATAAAAAATACTTTTTTTTTTTGGTCGAAGATGAGATTCGAACTCTTGCGCACAAAAGGTGATGTGTCTAAAGTCAGCGCCTCAGACCTCTCGGCCATCGCGCGTTGTTAACATGTATAGCAGTTTTGTACAATATATACATTAAAATGGATTGAAACCGGCTTCGCGTGTGATGAATGCTTCGCAAAAGCTCCATATACGGACTCTTCTTTTACTTTTGCAATGCATATTGGCACGAACTTAGATCAAGATCTATCGGCAGATGTTGTTTTTTTGTTTTTGGAAGTTTATTTTCGTCTTCATGTCAACAATGCAAGATAAAATTGTCGGTAAGATCGATCGAGATTCAATTGTATTGAAATTACCGACCAATCCTTCGCACACATACGGCATCCTCCATCGCTCAAACCATTTTTTAACATGTAAACCTATGGGGTAACCATGGAGGCTGACCAACTTTTTTTAATAACCATGGTTATTAAAAATATTGAAATGTTTTATGCATGGTTACCGAGAATTTTACAGGAACAGTTGAAGTTTATGAATGCAATTCGACCAATCAGATGGCTGGATTTCTTAAGTGAGGTATATAATTAATAATAACACATGGTGGAGCTTAAAAAAGTAACAAATTATTATAGTAGATGACAAATAGTGGTTTTAAATTTAATTTTCATTTGTTTCCTTCTTTGATTTCACTGTAGGCCAACTGGCATGTAGCTCAGCAGAGTTTGAATGCGTTGATTCAGGAGCAGGTAATGGAAGCTCGACATGTATTCCAGCAAGATGGCGCTGTGACGGTGATACTGACTGCCCGGACGGATCAGATGAAGATGCCTGTCGTAAGTAAACCTTTTCTCTGACACAACAATGTGAAAGTCGTAACAAGTAATGAGTTAGCAAACAATACCATTTAAATGAGGTATGAAGATTCTCAAGGGTTTCTTGAACCTTTACATCAGCATTTCTTAAGTGATGGCCATACATATCCTCATAAATCTCTGATTGTGTATATTTGCATAGAATACACTGTAAATCCTACCCCCCCCCCCCCCCCCCCCCCACGGCATGCCCCCAGCTTTTTAAACTCTATGTACCTGCTGTTGTATACCCTTCTTCAGTAGAATTTAAAGATAAAGTTGAGTTCTAGTCATGCGGTTGCATTGTGAAAGAAACGTTGTGAAATCGATCAGAAAAGGTTGATCATCTAGCACATAAGTATTGATGTGTACTGCAAGGTTATGTAATCATCAAAGTGATAAGAAATTTGGCCCAGTCTTGGTAAAGTTACGAGCACTGTACACCGAAAGATATATATAGGACTACACGAACATGTGGCGTAAAAATCTGTCCCGATTTTTATGATGATACATGTCATATTTAGAATATTAAGGCATTTGAAGAGCAATGCTTTTCAGGGAACAATTGTTATCTGATGTTCTTCAACAGTCTTGCATAATACAATAATAACGCTCACAAATTATTTTTCACCTCTTCCCGGAACTCAACCTTCTCTTTAAGAACTGATCGATCATCAATGTACATCTTACCAGCTTAAATGTGTGAATGGGTGTTGTTACAGTCATGATGTATTTCAGTTAGAAAACACCAGAATAGTATAGTTACTCATGGTGGTCTAGTTCCAAGAAGAGGGTCTTAACATAGGTCTTTATTCTTTATTATTGTAGAAAGCCACATTGATCACAAACAATCAGGTTCATGAGTTAGATTCTATAGAAAACCTTTTAGCTTGTCAAATTAGTTTGTCTCAGTGTATGCTGAATTAAAAAAAAAAACTGGAATTTAAAAAAAAGAAATGACTACATGACATTGTTTACACTGTCTTGTCCTAAGTCCATGGGTAGATCAATAACCATGTGTCTTTAATTTGCTGTGGGGTTTTAGCTAATTTGAGATGTGAGCTATATCCTCCCCCCCCCCCCCCCCCCCCCCCTCCTCTCTCTCTCTCCTCCTCTCTCTCTCTTTCTCTCTCTCTCTCTCCCTCCTTATTTTCCCCTCATCGACGAAGTCGGAGGGGATAAAGTAACAAATCTGGTTTCCGTATATCAAAACGCTTTGGTCACTGAACAGTGCTTGTTTTATTAGCAAAAAATGTTCTTTGGAGAATGACGTGAAAAACACGTCTTTGTTTACATCCATCTCCATTCTGCTAAAAGTCCCACATATTTTGTCTAGATTGATTAGTATATTACGACAAAGACTGTTCTTTTTAGCTAGTAAAGCAAACAAATTTTAATTTCATTATTATATACTGTTGTGTTTTATTTTTTTAAAGTAGGCAATTAACTGTTATTTTCAGTCCTTTTTCTGTGTCAATCAACGGGTTGGGCGAGAGAGCTTTATTACCCTGTCACAATTTGGCATACCGCCCTCTTCTAATTTTTAGTTTGAGAAAAAACTTTTTCTATGTAATTTTATCTTTCCAAAATATAAGAATCGTTTTGATTGGTCAATTCCCCCCCCCCCCCCCCCCCCCCCCTCATGCGTCTCCAAGATGTAAGACCATCACATCTTTGCCGAGCGAGAGTTTTTGGTGAGATTATTCAGTGTGAGAACTGTGTCGCCTATAGTCTCTGTCACAGTCCACGCACGAACGATACCGGCTGCACAGACGTACGTGAAATGTCGGGTCCATACAGTGCGTCCCCAAAAAACGAAACCGAGAATTATCGATGTTTTATCATAACTTAATCACAATTATGATCAATAAGTGACACATATTTGTTAAGCTTAGATCATCCTTTTTCATTTGATGTAACTCATATTAGGCTATGCATATTTCACGCATGAGTGATTAAAAACGATTTGAAGAGAGAGTTGATTGAGGGTGTCATATGAAAGGGCAGAAAATTAATTTTCTAGAAATGTGATTTTCTCTTTAAAGGTAGGCGTTACTACTGCAGCTAGAAGGGATTAGACCACACAGCGAGCCAGCAAGGTCACTGTAACAGGTGGCTATCTCATTAACTCAGCTCTCATTTAACATAAGAAAAAGAGGATCATGGGGGACCAACAGGCACCGATTTGGGAAGTTTTCTATATAGAGGGAGCAATTAGCTACAAGTAGGACAGTGTGCCTTTAAAATTCTGATACCGCCCGCCAAATGACTTTTTGGTACCCTCTCTTCAGATTGTTTTTAATCACTCATGCGTAAATATGCATCATATGAGTTGCATCGAATGAAAGAGGACTCCTTAGATCCTCCGAGGATCCAAGCTTCACAAATAATACAAATAAAACATCGATAATTCTCGGGGTTTTTTTTCTTTCTGGGACGCACTGTATATAGCTCCATACGTTTTTATATGGTTCGATAACTTTAGAAATGTTTGACGGATTTTAATAAAATTAGATATGATGGTAACCTACATGGTATCATAAAACAGCCTAAGTTTTGATTTGGGAGTATGTATGTCAAAGTTCAGCGGTTATTAGCTCATTAAATATGCGAACAAATCTGGTTTCCGTTCAATAACTTTCGTAATGTTTGGTGGATTTTAATGAAATTTGATATGAAGGTACATGGTATCAAACACAGCTTAAGTGCGATTTCGTAGTATGTAGGCCAAAGCTCAAAGCTCAAAGCTCATTAAATATGCGGACAAAAGCTGATTAATTAAAAGTTTGGTTTCCGTTCGATAACTTTAGTAATGTTTGACGAACTTCAATGAAATTTGATATGAAGGTACCCCCTACATGGTATCAAAATACAGCTAAGTTCGATTTAGGAGTATGAAGGTCAAAGGTCATAGCTCAATAAATATGCAAACAAATATGATTTCCTATTAATAAATTTAGTAATATTTTAGGGATTTTAAGGAAATTCGATATGAAGTTACATGTTACAAAAACACAGCCTAAGTCTGATTTATCAAAGGTCAAAGGTCACAGCTCATTGAATATGCGGAAAAGCTAATTACGTATTCGACAATGTGGTTTCCACTAGCTCGGAAACTCTAGTAATGTTTGACGGATTTTAATGAAATTTGTTAAGAAGGTACGGCGAGGGTATGCTACGCTTTGCGTTGACTTGTAAATTTCTTTTCTTACACAGCAATTCTTTGAACTTGTTCATTGACATGACAATGTATTACCGTTTTTTGTGTGGTTTGTTCCTTAACCATTGCAATCTTTCTTCTTTACTGAACAGAGACCCTGACCTGCTCTCCTAGCAAGTTCAGCTGTGGTCCTGGTATGAATTGTATTCCCCTGACATGGAGGTGTGATCGTGATGTAGATTGCCCATTTGGAGCTGATGAGCACAATTGCGGTAGGCTCTATCTCTATAATAACGTTTGTTTTATAGAAAAAAATCCTGGCTTGTTCTGCTTTTTGTATTTTGTTGTTGTTGTTGCTTGCTTAATTTTTGTATTATTTTGCCTTTGAAGTGGTAAGTGGAAGTAAATAAACGTGGTTTAAACAATTTAGATCATAAATTGTACATTATTAGGAAAAACTGCAGATTTTCGGTATCAATTTCTCAATGAAAGATGTTCTTGTTTACTATTTTTCCCCCTTCTGTTTATCTTGATAGATGCACTGACCTGTGCATCAAACCAGTTTACTTGCAACAACGAGAAGTGCGTTGCATCTCGTTGGGTCTGCGATGGAGACAACGATTGTGGGGATGGTTCAGATGAGATCAACTGCCCCAGTCTAACATGCCCCTCAGACGAGTTTGAGTGCACAGGCACCAACGCAACCACCTGCATCCCCTACAAATGGAAGTGTGATGGGGACATTGATTGCCGCGATGGATCTGACGAGTCAAGCACCCACTGCTCAGGTCCTACTGTATACTATGTTCTGCAGGACATTTCCAATGTACCAGTGGCGAGTGTGTCCATAATTCATGGAAGTGTGATGGAGAGAGGGAATGTTTCGATGGATCAGATGAAGATTCTTGTCGTAAGTTTACCCACTCTTGTAACTTTCTATTTTAAAAACGTAAAACTTAACAGTGGCGGATCCAGGGGGCACAGGGGGCACGTGCCGCCCCCCCCCCTCCCTGCCAGAAAAAAAAACTGTTGAAATCAGCCCCAAATTCGCCAAAAATGTACCGGCAAACAGGGACGTGCCCCCCCCCCCCGGCCCCATCAAAAAAGTGCTCTTACCCCCTCCCCCTCCCCCCCCCCCTTTATTCAGCGGCCGGCTAAGTCGTTGCGATTTTTTGGGGACCAAAAGAAATATATATAATAATAATAATAGCTCGTTCTTATATAGCGCTTTTCAGGACCGAAGGCCCTCTCAAAGCGCTTAACAGATAAGTATATTTTTACCCCGGTCATTGGATTCAGGCTTACCTGCACACAATGTATGCACATTCTCCACTCCCTGGGGAGCATTCCAGCCAGGCGTCATTTTTACAAGCGCACACTTGCTAATCTAACCACATTAGCTTTAGCATCCTACCGGGTACCCATTTAACACCTGGGTGGAGAGTGGCAAATGTAGATCAATGTCTTGCCAAAGGACAATAGGCGCCGGAAGTGGGGTGGCAGGGGGGCACTTGCCCCCCCCCCCCAACCAAAAAAGTGGGGGGGGGGGCAAAACGCCTTTTAGCCCCCTCCAAAACGCCCCCCCCCTCCAAAAAAAAGAAAGAAAAGCAATAAAGGAGTAAAGATGTTTGTATTTTAACCCAAAATATCATAACAATAATACAAACCTGAATTATATCACATATAAAATTCCATTCAAAGAAAAGGGAAGTTAACAGGAAATAAATTTCCTAAACATTGCGCATGTCAACTATATTTATCAATGGAGGTTTTTATATTAGCGATACGCGCATATCGTGGAAATATTATGAGAGGATGGGAAAGCGTGTGTGTTTTTGTTATAGGGTTGAGAAGACATAAGCCCCTGAACGCTGGCGTACTGATGGGGGGGGGGGGGTCTTATCTTATTCGATACCAGTGATTTACAAATGTTGCTGAAAATGACATGATTTTCCGGTATTTTTTCTCAATTTTTGTGTTAGTCATACCTTTTTAATGTGTTTGTTGGAAAATTAGAAATTCCCAAATTTACAGTCAGGCGAAATATATGCTTATTTAGAAGCCTTCGTGACAGGGCCTGCAGAACGGCTGGGCTCGGGGGCTCGATCCACCCCCTCACTTTTCGAAAAAGTATGTTACAGAGACAGTCGCATACGCAGGGGGGGGGGGTTGGGGTTAACCCCCCCCCCCTTGCCAATGGCTGACCTTAAAAAGGTGACCTTACCCCCCCCCCCCCCAACTGGACAAAATATCAAATTTTCAAATTTCGAGACCAAAAAACAAAAACAAAAAGTCCTCTTACCCCTCCCCCCCCCCCCCCCCCCGTTTATTCAGCGGCTGGCTGAGTCGTTGCGAAATTTTGGGTCCGATTTGAAAAAAAAACCTTGAAAAAATCCTGCATACGCCACTGTACAGAGAACAATAGAGAAAGAGAGAGGAAGAAATAAGTGACTTGCCAATGTCACAAATGAGGTATCGAAATATGATCATCTGACCGTAATTTAATGCCTAAAACCCCCGAGCTTCCGAGGGCTCCGCCCCCTTGACCTCACCAAGGGCCCTAGGGCGGGCCCCTGGATGCTCATCTGACCGTAATTTAATACCTAAAACTCCTGAGCTTCTGGGGGCTCTGCCCCCTGGACCCACCCAAGGGCCCTAAGGCGGCCCCTGGATGCTCATCTGAACGTAGTTAAATATCTAAAACCTCTGAGCTTCAGGGGGCGTCAATGGCCTTAAAGAGTGCCCCTGGGTGATCATCTAACCGGTATTAAATACCTAAAACCCCTGAGCTTCTCTGCCCCTGGACTCCCCGCCAGTTAGTGACCTGCCATTGTCACAAATAAGGTATCTGAATATGCCTATCTGACCGTAATTTAATGCCTAAAAAAGTGAGCACTAATTTTTTGTTTTGGTCCTCGAAAATTTAAAAAATCGCACCCCCCCCCCACCCTTGAGCGCCAGGGGAGGGGGCCCATCTCCAAAAAAAGAGGTTAAAATAACGTGTTTTTAGACGTTTGTTTCCCAAGGGGGGCGCCCCCTCCTTCTCTGGATCCGCCACTTGGTGAGCCCCGTGGAATGTTTGCCCCCCCCCCCCCCCAATCCCAAACTGTTTCTGGCGCACCTGCAAAGGACATTAGTGCCGCGGTTGGACTTGAACCGCGGACCTTGTGATCCACAGTCCGCTGACATATCCACTCGACCACGACACCTCTTACCCCCCGTGTGCCACCCGGGAAGAAATTCCTGGATCCGCCCTTGCTTCAAATTTTAATGTCATAACTTTTTTAGGAACTCTTAATCAAATCTTATTGCTGTATAGTTTTAGTCCAGAATCAATGAAAATTGAAACAATTTGCATATGATGAAAGATGAAAGTCTTCCTCAAGAGACTTGAAATTGATCAAGTTTTATTTGTTTTGCCCACTGACAGCACTTGTTACACCAAGCCCCTGTGCTGCCGGTGAATACCAATGTGACAACGGTGTTTGTATTCCAGGAGATGTGGAATGTGATGGTACCCAGCAGTGTGCTGATGGTAGTGACGAAGCAAACTGTAATGGTGAGTAACAGCATGCCATCTTGTACATTATTCGTAGTTATACGAAATCGTTGTTAGAGAATTAGTCATAATTCATTGCAATGTCCATTGAATGTAGATTGATGGTTAGATTAGATAAGGATCGTCCTCTACTGAGGTGGATATACATGAATAATGCAAAATGGGAGAATACACAGCTGAATGGTAAATATATGTCTCGTTTACAATCATGGTGATATCGGATTGGGGCAGAATATTTTGTTTTCCGTTAAGTTAATACCCAGTTTTTATCTTCCTACACAGCACCTGCAGAGTGTAATCCAACCACTCACTTCAGGTGTTCCAACTCTACCTGTCTGACAATGGTACGTGTGTGTAACGGCATCCCTGAATGCCCAAACAACGAGGATGAACCAGGACAAGAAATATGTGGCAAGTATTTCAATTGAATTAACTTCAGATTAGGGGGATCTCTATTGGACATTGAAACTATTGATACTTCATCTTCTTCTTCTTTGCTTGGCTTCCTCCAGTTTGGAGAAATGCAGTTGGTGCTGGTGTTGGTAGTACACATATACAAATGATAGCCGGGTTTACAGTGACATCACAAAGTGGAACGTTTAACGTGGAGGTCAAGTACGAAACTGAGAGAGAGATTGTGAAAAAGTGAGGGGTTGATCCAGGCGGAAAGAGAGGTGAGAGAGCAGGAGCCAAGTAACGATATAGTTTTGTGAAGCATATTCACCCTTCGTTTTCGTGTTAGAATAATGGCTCTCCCATCGTCTTGGCCAGTGAGCGATAAAGTAGTCTCTGAGCGTAGTGTAGAGCGGGCACTCACCAACCACGTGGATGATTGTCTCGATCTCCACATGCGCAGCAGGAGCTGTTATCTGGGTTGATGGTATGTATACTAGAGTTGGTGGGGTATACGCCACTCAGGAGCTGCGCCTTGATGGGAACTGCCTGCATGTCTCAGTCTAGGTGGGTGAATGGTTTATGGAAGAAGTTTATGCGCTTGGTCATGGTTGTTGGATAGGAGTCGGACGGTCATGTGTGTACCTGTAATGCAAGCTACGCACTTGTAAATGAGACACAGTGTGTGGACATCAACGAATGCAAGACCACACTAGGTATCAGCAGTCAACGGTGCTACAACCTTCCAGGATCCTACAAGTGTGACTGTGACGAGAACTATACCCTGGAGCACGTCAACGGCCGTGGGCACTGCAAGGCCAACCCGGAGTTTGGTGCCCCAAAGCTTCTCATCTCCAACCGACATGACATCCGCATCTTTGACCCTAGTACATCTTCTGAAGATTACATCAAGAGGTCCCTCCACAGTGTGGTGGCTGTTGCATTTGATTCAGCATCAAATACCGTCTTCTGGACAGATGTCGGGCTGGAAGTAGTGGCCAAGTAAGCAGGGGCGGCGATTTCTTTTCATGACCGGGGAATGAGAGGCACGAGGGAGCATAGTGCAAACTGTGCTTACGTGATACCAACGGAATACAGATTTTCTACAATACTTACTTGCACATTTTGAGGGGTGTTATGCGAGGGAGCGTAGCGACTGTAGCGACCGAGCGAGAAGATTTTTGCATTTTTATTAGTCAAACGCTGCACTCTGGGCCCTCAAGCGCCTAAAAGTGTGTCGCAGTCTTTAGTCAGTATTTGCTATACATTTTTCAAAGGTACTTTTTCAAATTTTCCAGGGGGGGGGGGGGGGAGATCCCCACGTCCCCGTTCTCCCGGGATCGCCGCCCCTGCAAGTAATTAAAGGATAATTACATTTTCTGCGATATCTCATACGACACATGCAGGTTGGACACATGAGTTTAATATGATTCTTTTAGGATCAGCAGAAACGATAAATAATAGCAACAAGCAGATGAGGTTGAATGATCATTTGAAGTTATTGCTGTTTGATATTTAGCAGACGAGATATACCTTCATATGAGGCAATGATTAATATTAGATGCAATATGTTATGACTGAACTTACATTGGTAATGTGAATAGCTTGTGATGTCCTTTTTGAGAAAGTCGTTATCAATAAAATTATGAAATAGCATTCGGAATGACTTGATGTGGTTCGATGAAGGTGTGATTTATTATGCCATATCTGATCTCATTAAAGAACCCAACTGCAAGCAGAGAATGCAGCAGAACCTGTGATTGTGACTGACAAAGTGAAGATTGCTGATGACATTGCTGTGGACTGGATCAACAGGCTCCTATACTGGACCGACACTGGTGTCGACAACATCGTTGTGTCCAACTTTGAAGGCACCCGGCACACCGTTCTTATCTCCAGCAACCTTGACCAGCCCCGAGCAATCGCTGTGGACCCAGAGTCTGGTCTCATGTTCTGGAGCGACTGGGGATTAGAGGTGATCGAGCGTGCTGGCATGAACGGACAAGGACGCACCGCCATTGTGACCGATGGCGTGTCTTGGCCCAACGGATTGACACTGGACTACACTCTTGATATGCTCTACTGGATCGATGCCAAGGAAAACAGCATCAGCTCGGTAAATTTCATGGGTGGAAACCGGCGAGTGGTAGTGGCTGGACAGGATCGTATCTCGCATCCATTCAGCATTGCTGTCTTTGAAGATTACATCTACTGGACGGACTGGACCAAGGAGAGTATCGAACGGGCTGACAAGTTCACTGGCTCTAACCAGACAACTATCCTCTCTGGAGTATCAGATGCCATGGATGTCATCGTTGTTCATCCGCTCAGACAGGCTCCTTGTAAGTATTATTTCCTCTTTCCTGAATTCATATTTTACTTGCAGCTTTTGAATTTTGCCGATGCAACCTTTTTAACGATTTTTTTGTTCTTGTTAAAATGTATTGTTCATAGGTGTTATTGAAAACCAAGTTCGATTTTTTAATCTGTCAAGACACACACATTTAGATCGATGTGTAATTTACGTGCCACTCTGTTGTTTTTTTTACCAACAGCTGCAGGGGAAGAGCCATGTGCCACAGACAACGGAATGTGTTCCTACCTGTGTGTGGCTTGTCCTCGGGTTAATGGTCCTGCTGACTACTCCTGTCTCTGCCCTGTTAATGTATCGCTCACCGCTGACGGACACACCTGTGAAGGGGATGAGCCAACCCCAAGTGTCCCTCAACCTTCCGTGCCTTCCACAGCCCTTGCGTCCACTACCACTCTACATCCTGTCAGACCCACTACGCTTACTAGGGGTACTATACCAAAGATAGTCGAGGAGACACCGACGATTGTCGGACCATTCGCCACTGGAGGAAGTGTGGTTTCATCTAGCCCATCGGCCAATACTGTTGGTGTATCGCTTACCGCTAACAGACACACCAGCGAAGGAGGTGAGCCAAACCCAAGTGTCCCTCAACCTTCTGTGCCTTCCATAGCCCCTGAACCCACCACCACCCTACCTCCAGTCAAACCCACTACGCCTACCAGGGCTACTACACCAAAGATAGTCGAGAAGACAACGACGCTTGCCGCGCCATTCACCACAGGAGGAGGATGTGAGGTTACATCTAGCCCATTCTCCAATACCCACATGATAGTAGATGTTGTCATCGGTATCATTATTATACTACTTCTCTTCTTTGGACTCTACAAGTGAGTTGAGCTTAATTTTACCAGCCATCAATAACATCCTTATTTCAAAGTGTAGTGATGATCCTGCAGTACATTATGGTCAACAACGTGAATAGAAGTAAACTTGAATATAATTACTCTATTAATCCATTTCCAAAGATGTATGTGACTGCACAAGTAAAATTTGAATTGCAGCTAGTGAATTGAACTAACGAAATTTCTTAATGTTAGCATCAGGGGAAAAAATACACGGGGGCTCAGGGCGAATTAGCCCCTGAAAGGCAAACAAATTAAAGAGTGCTATGTTTGGTTGTTTGTTTTATTTCCGAAAATCATCATAAAAACAATAACACAATATAACAAAATCAAAGACTTATATAACAATGATAGAATGATAAAACGGTTGGATAGTCCATTTCAGAGCCATTAACCCAATGGCTCTGTTCTTCCATGATATAACAAAATAGTAAGTCGTAATTAAAAGAAACACAAAAACATTGTACTTGTACTTAACTTAACTAAATTAAATTAAATTAAATTTAACAAAAGACACTAACAAAAAGCATTAAAATCTATCCAAATATCCCCTACCATCCATAATGTAACAAAATACGACCCCACCCTTATCACCCACCCTGCTAACAATTAACTTAATTAGTTTTAAAATATTCTACACATTATCTAATTTAGTCTGTTATTAAATTGATTATGTTTATGGCAAAAGCCATATGTGCATGCAAGCAAGCTTGAAAAGTAGCCCCGAAAATTGTTTAATATGTTTTTCTCCTGAGTAACATCTTTGGTATGATTGCTCAAAGAATCAGATACATGTAGAAAAGGAAAATTAAAATGCAGCTATCTTGTATCATTTGTTCATAAATTGTCTTAATAGTGAAGTTAAAGGTCTAGTAATATTTTGTTCCATTAAGTTATTGGTTAACAATGTGCTTTCTTCTGTAATTTCAGAATACACTCCATCCGCAAGACGAGGACAATGAACTTCGACAACGCGGTATACAGAAAGACGACTGAAGAATTCATCTCATTAGACCTCGAGACAAAAATTAAAATTGCTGGCAAACCTGGCAAGAACGAAAATGCCCATGTTAGGGTGAATTTCCTTTCTTTATTTCCTGCCATTCATAATTCAAGAAACTATATTCATTACCAAATATTTTCTAGCATAATAAATGTGTCAAAGTACCAGAGCGAAGATTTAAAATTACTGCACTGTCAACTGCATGCATTGTGAATGTGTAATGGCCGCTCGCTCACAATGTCTGATCTTGACTAGGAAGGGAAGAAGACTTCGTTGATGTTACAGCTGCGGTGCAAGTCATAGCCTATCTGCACAAACCTGAGCGGGCGGGTGGGCGCCGGAGACGGGCTCGGTTTGCCTGTCAAAGCAGCGGTTGGTAAAGGTTCTGTGAACTCGACCCACGCTGGGTGGTATATTTTGTCATTTTTGGAAAGTCTAAGATCATTCTTTGCAAATTTCAAGCAGATTGAATCATAAACGAATCAATGCGGGATATAAACCTGTTAAACCATTGCCTACTGGAACCGAGTGGTCCCTGTATTAAGCCTATGGGAAAGAGAGAATTCAGTAGTCAATAGGTTAATATTGATTACAATTATTGATTACAATTATACATCGGAAATGGAACTGCGCGGCATCATGGTCTGAGGATTGATAACAGAAGTGATTGAACTGCATAGAAAATCATCATCATCCCCATTTATACGATGACATCTCAACAAACAACACAAAAAAACAAGATATTTGGAATAATCAAAATGCTTACATTTTTAGGCATAATAAGCAATTTTAAAGTTTA